AACCGAAGTGAGGGATTTCATTTCTCTCGAGCAAGTCATTGCTTGGCCTCCCTTCCTCTTCCAACCGCATCCCTGGTGCGCAGCCAACACACGATGAGGGAGTCGGCGTGTTGGCATGCGCAACACGTGGCCTAGCCGTCGGAGCTTGTTGCAGGATATGCTGGTGCTGAACAGCTCTCTTTCTTCTTGCACCAAATACACGACGCTGAACACGCACATTGCTCACGTGGTGCCCCCACCAGACGTGAGCTATTCTGCGAAGACAGCGATGATCTAACGAAGTTAATCTCTTAGTGTCTGTTGCTCTGATACGCCAACTTTCGCGACCGTACAGGACAGTCGATGGGGACGGATACATTGTAAACTCTCCCCTTCAGAGCGAAAGCAATTTCACGCCGGTGCGACAGTTGGCAAAGGCGCCAAGGGGTTTTGCTATACGGTTTTCTAATCTCGTTTTCGATCCCAAAGGCCCTAAAATAGCTGCTCATACACTTAAATTTTTGGATGACTTAAACCTGTTAACCACCAAGGGTCAGCGCAGAGGAGTGCCGCTGCCAATCTTGAAGAAAAGCTTGGAATTTCGAGGGTGCAAAGCATAGCCCGAAACGACTGACAGTCAGTGCTCATTTATCCTGTGCAACTGCACGTTTTGATGCCGTCACAAATAAAAGAAATGTCATCCGCATAATCCGTTAAAAAGTCGCTCGCCAGGAAGTAGTTCCGCACCATGTAGGTCGCGTCAAGCGAATGAGGCCTAATTGACTTCGTCAGTGGCGAAGTTAAGGAAGAAAGGTGACAGCGGGCAGCCTTATCTTCCACCGTTGGAAATATTGAAGGGTGGCGAGAAAACACATCGACCAATAGAATCAAAGACCCATTTGATGCCTAGAAAGATGACTATGGTGGGTCACCAATAAACATGGCTGTGCTCCAGCATTTGGTGTAAAGGAAAGATGTGGTCAATGCAGCATCGATTTCGAGGAAACCCGAACTACTCATCGCGCATCTGGATTTCACCGATGACAGTCAGTCTATGGAACAGGACAGAGGCAAGCAACTTAGAGGCAACTGATATCATACTAATTCCACTATGACTGCGGCATTCTGAACGGGAGCCTCTCTTGAAAATTAGGACTATAATAGAGCGGCTTCAGTTTATTGGGACAATATGCTGCTCCAAGAGAATCAGTTCAGTTCGGCTGAACAACTTTTATCTGAGCACCGAAATGCGATTGATCCAGTTGTCACGACTAACATTGGAAGAGTACCAACAAATAACAACGGCAAGATAGTGGGGTTAAACGTAAATAGAATGTAAAGAAAGTGAAGCAAGAAGGAAGTACATCAAACTAATCAGAAGGAAACGAAAATTAACAACCAGATTCAAGAAACGGAAAGCAAGAACGCTACTGACTGCGCCATGTGTGATACGGTTTCCAACCATTGGTGTGGACCATCGCGAGGACGGCATGCACCAGCCTAATCAAGTCTTAGTCGATTTCTTCACGCCTCTATGCCACGTCATGTACTGGCCACTTTGCAGTTTCGCCAAACATGGTGCAGCCACGGCGTACAATACATGTCAACCCGGTCAACGGGCATACTGAGGACATGGGTAAGTCACCCTAAGCGATGAATATTCAAGAAAGACTGGAGTGAGGCACCAGAAGGCTTCTTGTCAAAAAGGCAATTGGTGGACCTCAGCGTTCCTCATCCGGTGTACCCACTAGACGTGAGCAACACTCCGCAAGCACCAATGGCTAAACACGGCCGAGCGTTTAATGGCATCGTGGCGAACTGGCCAGGTCTCAGATCCATGTAGTAACACCAGCCTTACGGCAGCGTTGTACAACCTACCTTTCACTGACAGCCTGATATCCCTAAGTCCCCATAGACAGTTAAGTCTCTTGAAAGCCACACGGACCATGCTGATAGGCGAAGCAACTTTCTCAATGATGTGACCACCAAAGGTAAGTGAACCGATCCCCGACTTCCAGTGGTTGTTCGGTGGTAGCTAGAACCGGTGTGTAGGTCCAGTCCTGCAGTAGTACTTTGCACTTTAAAGGTGCAAGGCACATGCCAAAGCGTGCAGCGTTACGCTGCAGTCTATCAAGTAGTGTTTGCACAGACACTGTGCCAGACCCAAGAACAGCTACGTCGTCCGCAAACTCCATGTTTGTCAGTCGGTTACCTGGTAGAACTTCCACTCCGGTAGACGCTGAAAGAACGGAGTCACTCATGATCATTGCTATAGCAATGTTATAAAAGGAAGGAGATATATGACAACCCTGGCGAACTCCACTTGTCGTGAGAAACCCAGGATAGTTTCCCGTAGACGGCCTCGGGAGTCACGGTAGAGAGAGTGCATAATGGAAAGGAATTTAGCCGGCACGCCCTTCATGGAGAAGCAGTGTCACAAGCTGACGCGGTCCTTACATAGAATCACTAATAACTTATGTAAGTCTTCCAAAAGAGCAGGTTCTCCGAATATAACATGGCTGGATGAAGTTTATCTGCTCCCATGGTGTTTAATTTCAGCCGTCTGAACTCACGTCCGATTTCCCCGCGTGAGGGCGGATACTGGTGGACGGATAGGTGAAAAGAGCGCTTATGGGCCGATGAAGAAGCTGGCAATTCTGAATGATTTAACCGATTCTCATAGTGTTCGGCCGATCGCTCCAAGAGTTTGACAAGCTGTGGAACAAACTGTTCACTCTCCTCGCGTATGGTATCGCTAAAAACAAGGTCTCCTGCTGCCCGTTTCCTCTATCAAACAGAATAATTTTTGATGGTTATCAACGGTATCGGCTGTCTCCATCGCCGACGCACGATGAGGCGCACGAGGACACCCTTCAGGCTAGCACGCAATTTCGCCCGAAGAAGTTTGTGAGTTTAAATGTATTCGATTTCAACTGGAACACATCGGCGAGCATCCAGAAGTTCTAGAGACCACGTAAAGGCCCAAATCCTAGGTTGGCCAATTATTATGCCACATGAAGACATGACTGTTACTAATAACGCCTGGTGGATGTGCAAGCAATGATCACCAACTGTGTTCAGTGATCTTTTAGTCAAGTCAGAAGTCAGCGTAATTTGATACACATTTAGAATATTTGGCTTCGCCAGTTGACATGTATCTATGCGCACACAGCGCCGTTGAGGACGTTCACCGAAACGCACCCGCAGATCGGCAAATACAAGAGCACGATCTGAGTCTACGCTCGTGTTCCAAATCAAGCAACAGTTTTGGACACATCCTCTCCAACTGTAACCGATCGCGATATGATCGATTTGCGTACATGCCTGGCGGGCGCCATGTCACTCTCCGGCGCATACTGTGTCCCAACTTGGTGCTCGCAAGAAATAGACGAGTATATTCACACAGTTGTAGCAACCGCACATTGTTATCATTACGGGAGCCTACACCGCGTTGGTCAACCAGATGGTGCCGATCAGCGGATAGTTTTCTAACTTGGGCGTTCAGATCACCAGCCAGAACCCCAGTATCCGTACATTATCTGTAACGAAGGAGCGCGCTCAATTAATGAGAGAAGTAGTCTTGGCACGGAGTCAGCGCTACAATTTGTGGGCGCGTAAGCCGCAATGACAAGCAAGCACCGTTTGTCCCTACGCGACTTCGATGCTTTGGATGAAGAAGCCAATCTGACAGCGCACATACGACTGTTCAATAGGATCCAATTGATCAGGGCAGCTTCACTCCGAGGACTCAGAGCAATGCCCACACGAGCTTGACCAGCATTTGAAGCTGCCTTATCTCCGGAAAAGCGTAATGAGAAAATAGCGCCAACGTCGCACGTTGAGGATCACAGCGGAATCAGAGAACTTGACTCATGCAGGCGAGTTTTTGATAGGCAGCAAATATCGATTGATAGGGTCTCAAGTGTTCGGGCAAGTGTTGCCTGTTGGTCAATCTGCAACAAAGTGCGTACATTGAGGCATGCCAGTCCTAGGGAGGATCGAGGGCTTCAAATGGTAGCAGATGAACTGACGTTGCCTGTTTGGCTGGAGATGAACTTGCCGACTGGACCGGAGCGACGCCCTAGGACTGTGTGTGAGTCAAAATTAGAAGATAAAGGATTACTAAACCAAGATAGAGAGAGCCAAGAATTAAGGGTTTAAAATGGAGGGATAAAAGGGTTGGAACGGGACAATAAGGATGAAAAAGCGCAAGAGAGTGGAGAAGACGGAAAGGCATGAGCAGTAGCATCCAACCCCCTATCCACCCTGCTCGATATAGCAGAGAGTGCACCGTTAATTACCCTCTGCAATGGCCAAAGCATCAAGAAATTGTTTGGATGTAAGATCATTGTATTGCGCGGGCAGGATATTGAGTTTGCCCAAGCCTAGACAGAAGAACGATTAGGGTTCTCAAGCAAAGCGTTCGGTTCAAAAAACCTGACCACTAGGTAGCGGGGTTTTGGTATTGGGTTACACAGAGTCTATCTGATGGAGTAAGCAGCCACCCTCACTCCAACCTCCAAACTGGAGGACCAGGAAACTAACCAAGTTTGTCTGGTCGGTAACCATTGACCAATCTGGTATGAGTGGCTCTGAAGGTGCAGAGGCGCCATCCAGCATAGCCCAATGAATCACTGGAGCAGGCAAACCATCGCACCATGTTAAGGTCTAGTCTCGTTGCGATGGAATTCAAGCGGATCGGGTTAGCTACTCAAAAGCTGACCTTGATAATCTCATGGATACTGGTAAGAGGTATAAAGTGTTCAGCCACAAGGGACCACAGTTACCCTGGTTCGATGATAAAACGTTAACCACTTGTTAGGACCCAACGGCGGACGCAATAGCCGTGGAAGTAACCTGCTGAAGAAAGCTTGTGAACGCATAGAAAACCCAATTGGTGGCATGATTAGTCCAAATGGACATCGAATTGTCATCAGCGGTAGAAATTCTCGGAAAGGAAGAGAACATGTAGAGATACTGAGATTGGTACATTTATGCATGACATAATCCGAAGCACGTACCAGCAGAAAGGCTGGCGCACAGTCCAAGATATGACCATCGCTTCACCCCGGTGTAGTGGATTAGCCGATCCTTCGCAGTGTAAATGACATAAGCGGACAAAACAACAGGTAACACAAATCCAACAACGCGACAACTAAGGCATTCGGATCCGCGATCAGTGTCAGTATGATGAGAAGGGCGATCTGGCATGATCGGATCCGCTGAAGCACAAAAACAAATAATAATGACGGATGTGTTCGTCTACAGTGGAGGTCGAAAGCAAGAAACAAGATGGCGCGAATTAGACTGAGTCTAGTCAAACCACAACGTCTAGTGAGAAGGCGTCTTCCGATGGCAAAAGATGCAGGAACGAGTGGGGCGGAGGTTGCTACACTTTGTCTGCCAAATGAACCGCAAACCAGCCGGTAACGACATTCTATCCATCTGTTACTCGGTTCAGTGAAATGACAATGACCACAACACGTCTAGTAATCTCCTCAATCATGTGACCGCCACAAGTGACAGTGATCAAGTCAAGTAGACCGCTCCAACAATTACAGAGACGGTTCGTTGATAGCAAGAATCTATGACAGCTCAACATCCTCACCATTATTCCACATAAGCTGAAGGTGAGAAACACACTTCAGCTCTAGTGCCGCAATAAAAATATAAGATATAAGAAGAAGAAAATGAGAAAACATATAGTACGAAAACTAACAAGTAATAAGCAGCCAAACAACATACAATAAATCAAGTCTGAGATCGCCGTTGAAGGTGCAAGATAGGCGGGATGGGGATGGAGAAAGAAACCCACAACAAGAAACGCCCCTGAAGTCACCTCCTAGCCATGTCAGCAAGTGTATCCAACTAAACGTGTTCATCGTTTTCCGGAACCCAATCGAGGGGCCGAGATGCTCCAACCGAGGTCAATATTGAAGTAAGGGCCTTCAATGCTTTCGAGTAAGTCATCGCTTGGAAACCCCTCCTCTTCTTCCATCCACACCCCCGGCGCGCAAACAACGTGCGTCGCGGGAGTCGGTGGGCTGATCTTCGCAACACGTGGCCCAGCCATCGGAGCCTGATGCATGAAATAACGGTGCTGAGCGGTTCATTACCTAATCATGTGTCATAAACAAGATGTCGAACAGGCTCGTTGCTCACGCGGTGTTCCCACTAGATGTGAGCCAAAGTGCGAAGGCATCGGTGGCCGAACGTAACTACCATTCTTACGTCTGTTGATCTAATGAGTCAGGTTTCACAACCGTACCGTTGCATTGTACACTCTACCGTTCAGGGAGAGCGTGACGTCGCGCCGGTGCCATAGGTGGTGGAGGTTAGCAAAAACGCCTTGAGCTTTTGCTATAAGGTTCGTGATCTCATCTTCGATCCCAAGGGCGCTGATACAAGTTCCAGGCAGTTGAACTTTCCGAACAGCTTCCAGCTGATTCCCAACAAAGATCAGCGTAAGAGGCGGTCTCTGCCAATCTTGTAGGAAAGATTTGCACTTTCAGAGTGCAAAGCAAAGTTCGAGACGGCTGACAGCCAGTGCTAATATGTCCAGTGCCGCTTGGCACGTTTGGGAGATGTCACAGATTAGGGTAATATCGTCAGCATATTCCAAGTCAAGAAGCCGTTCGCCTGGAAGCAGCTCCACACCTCCTAAGAGGAAAAGTGACAGCGGGCATCCTTGTCTCACACCACTAGAGATATTGAAGGGCGGCGATAGTTTGCTGTAAGCCCTCACTCTGTCCGAGGTACGCACGTATAAAGTTCAGACAATATCTACATATTTCTCGGGCACACCATTTTGAGTAGACAGTCCTAAAGAATACACAGATCCACCGAAACGAAGGCACCTTTGATATCGAAGAAAACGACAACGGTGGGCCGCCACTATACATGATGGTGCTCCAACAACTAACGTGAAGGGTAGGTGTGGTCAATGCAGCATCGAACTCGACGAAACCCGGTTTGCTCTTAACGAATCGGGCTTTCACGAGTGTCAGTCAGTCTGTGAAGGGTGACAGAGGCAAGGACTTTGGAGAAGATGAAGAGCAGACTGATTCCTCTATAGTTGCCGCATTCAAATCGTGAGCCCCACCTGAAAATTTGAACTATAACAGAGTCGCTGACATAGCTGCAAAGACACTTGAATTTCTCGGTTATTTCTCGCTGATCACAACTAAGGGTCAGTGAATAGAAGGGTCCCTGACAATCTTGAAGAAGCACTTGACATTTCGAGAGTGAAAAGCATAAACAGAAATGTTTACCAGCCAATGCTAAGTTGTCCAGTGCCGTTTGACACCATTGGGAGTTGTCCCAGATTAGGGCAATATCATCGGCGCAATCAAAATCAAGAAGTCTATCACTTGGGAGCAGCTCCACACCATGTAGATAGTGTATTGCGAACGCATATTCCATGACGTCGTCAATGGCGAAGTCAAAAAGGAAAGGTAACTGCGGGAATCTTTGTCGCACATCGCTGGAGATATCGAAGGACGACAGTTTGGCGTAAACCCTTACCATTCCCGAACTCCGCGCGTAAAAAGCGCAGATATAACCTTTTTTGGGCACACATTTTCTGAGTAGACAGTTGCAAAGGGCACATCCGTCCACCGAATCGAAGACACCCATGATGCCAACGAACACGAGTAAGGCGGGTAGACAATAAACGCGGCGTTGCTCCAACAATTGGGGTAAGGTAAAGATGTGGTCAATGCAGCCTCGATTTCAACGAAAATCGCCATGCTCCCACGAACCTGGCTTTCATGTGTGCCAACAAGTATATGAACAACGACAGAGGTAAGCGACCTAGAGACAATTGAGATCAGACTGATCCCTATATGACTGTCGAGTTCCGAACGGGAGTCATCCTTAAAAATCGGGACTAGAACGGAGCGGCTCCAGTCCGTTGGGCCAGTTCCCTGCTTCTACAGCTTCACAATAAGTTGTGCTAATCACCCATGAGACTTAGTCCCCCGAATTTGAAGAGGGCTAGGGGAATTCTGTCTGCCCCTGTGGCCTTATGCAAGTGTAACAGAGTGAGCTCACGTTCAACTTCTGCGCGTGAGGGCGGATTCAATGAGACGGCCCAGGGAGAAGGGCGCTCAATGCTCGAAAAAGAAAGCGACAAAACGGATTGGTTAAACTGACTTCCAAAGTGTTCGGCACAACGCTCCAAGAGTTTTGAAAAGCTGTGGATCGGTTATCCACTATTCTCGCGTTTGGTCTCGCTAACAGCGGGTCTTCTGCTGCCCGGTTCTTGTATAAGACGAAATAACTGATGATGTTTATCAAACGCAGCGGTTGTCTCTATATTCGATGCAAAATAACACCAGTAGGCTTCGTGATCTCTTCAGGCTAGCACGCGGATTTTCCATGAGATGTTTGCGAGCCTCGTTATTTTCGCTTCCAATCGAAATGTGTCCTGAGCACCCAGAAGTTCTAGAGACTGCATACAAACCTAATACTCAGGTTGGCAATTTAATATGCCACATGAAGACATATCTGTTGACAGTAACATCTGGCGAATGTACGACCAGTGGCTTTCTACTGTGTTCAGAGAGAGCGCTTACTCAGCACGCAGGTCAGCGTACTTTGACACACATTTAGAATATTTGGCTTCGTCACTTGGCTGGTGTTTATGCGTCCATAGCGTCGTTGAAGACGTACACCGAAACGCACCCGCAGATCAGCAAATACAAGAGCACGATCTGAGTCCACGCTCGTGTTCCAAATCAAGCAACAGTTTTGGACACATCCTCTCCAACTGTAACCGATCACGATGTGATCGATTTGCGTACATGGCTGGCGGGCGCTGTCACTCTCCGACGCATGCTGTGTCTCAAGTTGATGCTCGCAAGAAATAGACGAGTATATTCACACAGTTGTAGCAACCGCTCATTGTTATCATTACGGGAGCCTACACCGCGCTGGTCACCCAGATGGTGCCGATCGGTGGACAGTTTTCCAACTTGGGCGCTCAGATCACCAGCCAGAACCACAGTAGTCGTACATTATCTGTAACGAAGGAACTAGATCGGTTGGTGACAGAAATCAACTGAATCGCTGAATCAGTGCTACAGTTTGTGGGGTAGTAGGCAGGAAGGACAAACAGGCATCATATTCCGCGCTCGACTTTGAAGCTTTAAAGAAGCCAGGCAAACCTAACGGTGTACAACCGGCTGTTGTCTAGGATACATCCTACCAGAGCAGCTTCAGCTCGGGGTTAAAAGCAATACCCAAAAAGGAGTGACCAGCATTTCTTGCTGCGTCATCTTCAGACAAGCGCGGTGAGAAAATGCCAACACTGTAGCATGTGGTGGAATATCAGGATGGGCACAGATTTCGAATCTCGCACACGAGTATCCGATAGGCAGCAGTGCTGTCAAGGTCACAGACGGTCGCATAATTCTGTGCTCTGTGGTAATCCTGGATTATTCGGTTCATTTTCGTGCTACATTCTAGGAAATACGCCCATTCGTTTCGGCTCGCCGAGTTCTATCAAACGGGATTTATATTTGCGCAGTAAGTCCTCCGTCTCGCTATTTTATCCCAAGCGGCGTCTTCGGCAATTCGTACATTAAGAACCACGCTTGAAAGCTTGTTTTTTCAAGGTAATCTCAGTGAATTTAAGAAACCATTCTACAGAGCTTTTCTAAAGCTATCAGGTGACATATAGCTTAGTACTGTGCACCACCATACACCATAGATACTGGCTATTTTGTCCTTTCATCTATATTCCTTCGTGCACCCTACCACACGAAATGTTTGTGATTCCATACACGCTTGCGCCAGGACCCATCACCACCAAATCCGGACAGCGACGGTTACCGCTAGCCGGACTAGTCAATTCACGCAGCTCACAACGGTGCGACCGGCGTGATTTAAAGTGCATACGAGTCACTAAGCCATGGGAAGGCGAAGTTTATCAGCGGGTCCACGCGTGAACAAAACAACGAAGGTCAATCATGGCTCAAGTAAGCGGAGAACTGTCATCACAAAAATCACGTGCTCTTTGTGTGCAAATTCTTACGACGAAGTGGACGTGAACTCAGAACTTGGCGGAAACCGCAGCGTAATAACAAATAGTTTGTGGTTCTGTGATGCATGTTCAGATAGCCCAATAGCCAACATTATCCGAACTCTCAACGCGAGGTGTGAAATGTTGGCTGTTGCGTCATCCGAACAGAAAGAATTGGTCAAGGCTTTGGGAGGGAAAA